GAGAGAGAGAGAGAGAGAGAGAGAGAGAGAGAGAGAGAGAGAGAGCTGAACTTCCACAGTCACTTTCCACCTTATCTTTGGAGACAGGGTCTCTCAGTGAATTTGACATTCACTAGGCTAGAGAGGGTTACAGATGCGTGGGGTCACACCTACTTTCTCACATGGGTGCTAGGAAGCTGAACTCAGGTCCCTCATGTGTGCATGACAGACACTTCACCAAATGAGCCAGCCCCCAGGCAGATTTCCTTTTTAAAGAATTGAAAAGAACCATTTGGCTGGGTGGTGCCCTTATGTAACCCTAGCACTTAGAAGAAGGAAGCAGGAGGATCATGAGTTCAGTGCTCTCCTCAGCTGAATAGCAAGGCTTGCCCAGCTATTTGAGGCCCTGCCTCAAATTGAATCAATCAATCAATTCTGTATATGATGTGGTTTTACTCTTGTTAAAAATGTCCTGCTGAGGGTTGGGGATTTAGCTCAGTGGTAGAGTGCTTGCCTAGCAAGCACAAGGCCCTGGGTTTGGTCCTCAGCTCCGGAAAATAAAAAAAAAAAAAGTGCTGCTGAGAGCCCGGCAGCAGTGGCACAGGCCTTTAATCCCAGCACTCAGGAAGTTGAGCCAGGCAGATCTCTGTGAGTTCGAGGCCAGCCTGGTCTACAGAGCGAGATCCAGGACAGGCACCAAAAATACACAAAGAAACCCTGTCTTGAAAAACAAAAATAAACAACAACAACAAAAAAATGTCCTGCTGGGTCTAGGAAGTGTTCAAGAGGTGAAAACACCAGCCACACAAGCCTGATGACCCAAGTTCAATCCCCAGAACCCACAAAAAAAGCCAGAGGCAGTGTCATGCGTCTGTAATCCCAGCACCTCTACAGCAAAATGGCAGGTAGGGACAAGAGAATTGCTGAGAGATCCATAGGCTAGCTAGCCTGGAGTACACAGGACAGCAGAAACAGGAGCGACCCTGCCTCACAAACAAGCTGGAAGGAGAGAACTGAGTCCTGAAAGTCATACTCTGACCTTCAAATGCATGCTATGGCATGCACGTGCACAGACATTGTTGATAAAGACAGACAGACTTACTGAAGCTCCCGGACATGTTTGGGGCACTTGGTTGTTGTTCATTCGCTGGGGCAATACTCCCTAAGCACCAGGTTCTTATTCTCACTCGACATAGCTGGCCACATGCATCTACAGTGCAGCTTGCGCATATGCATTCCCATAAGCTTGAGTACATTTGCATAAGCAAATGCAGTCTACACACCATGTTTTGTCTCACTGACTCTTCCCATTTCTGAGAGGGGAGATTGAACTTCACAAAAGAAAGCTGAGAGAGCTGAGATATCCCCAAGAAGCTGGGAATGGGGGATGGAGAAAGAAGCCTTCCTTGTGGAATGTCACCCGCTGCAGGATGTAGAAGGGACAGAAAAGCTCCACTTGTACGCACAGTGGAGCGACTGAGTCAGGCCAGCGTCATCTCTGGGTGACAAGCTGTCGGGAAACAGAATGTTCGCACATGCCAATGTGTCACTCCATGCGAGCCTGGCTCCCTGCAAGGGGGTGAGTAGGCTCAGCACAAAGACATCTTGCTGTTAACATCACAGCCAAGTTATCGGATCACCAACTGCTGGGCCCTGGGATGCCCAGTGATGCAAAGTGCCACGTCTGTGATGCGTCTACCGTAAGTCGTCAGAGCAAGCCTCTAGACCTCTCTCCCAGTTCAGAGGAAGTGCACAGGACAGAAGAACAGATACGACACAAGGGCCCAAAAAGACAAATCATATGCCAGCCAATGCGGCAGTGCTGGAAACAATAACAAAGAGTGTGGGGCATCCTAAGAGATACCTGGCCTGCACTCTTCCAAGAGTTAATGTCCTAGAGAAGAAAAAGTGGAGAGATCAGTCTAGGTTTTCAAAGCTTCAGACCTAACCACCAACTACAATATGTTTGCTTGAATCAAATTATAGTTAAAAAAAAAAAACTAATTATGAAGTCTGTCTTAGGACAGATAAGTGTATTTGAATATAAACAATATTACAAGGCTTAAATTATTATTTGATCAACTTTAATAATAGTATTGTATTTATGTAAGTGAAAAGGAAAGATGTCCATCTCTTCATCCTCACTATACTCTCCCACCTTTCCATTCAGGGAGTGAATCCATGGTGTGATTGGTTGGTTGGACGCCTTCACTTTTGATACTGCATTGTAGAGTTTCTATAACAAGCACTTCTCTGGGGCTGTAGAAATCAAACGGCTTTTCTCCAGTTCAGCTGCGACATTAGTTACCTGTCATGAAGGGAGATCCTGCTGATGAAACATTCAATCCCACAAGGCTGAAAATCACTGTGATAAGCTGCTGGATAAAGAAGCAGAGGAAGATATATATGAGATGAGATCCGGAAGGAGTACTAAAGTTCTGTCCTAGTACCGGCCCCACCCCAGGATGGGTTCATAGATCTGGAAACTCTCTCAACCATGTTGCTATGGATTTCTGTGCCTACGCTTTGCAGGAATGCTCATGTGACTAAGCCTTATTCAATATCTGACTCCTGACCCCTTCCAGGAGGAGAGGGGGTAGGACTGAGAGTTCTAGGTTTCTAACCACAGTTTGATCTTTCTGTTGTCCAGCTCTGTAAGACAAATTGCTAAAAGGTCTTATTAAAAAACAAACAAACAAACAAACAAACAAACAAACCCAGAGCCAGATATTGGAGTTAAAATCCGAAAGATCAAAGGAATAGGAAAAGCCATAGCCAACCTCACCTTATCAGCCCTCAGTCTCCAAAGAGAGCTACTTCCTGTATACCCACACCTATATGCCATCTCATTTCCTCTCCCTGCCAAGCTACATCACTTCCTCTTTCTGACCAGCTCTGTCACTTCCTGTCTGTCTGTACAGACCTCCGGACCTTTATGGTTAACTAAATAATGTTGGAATTTAGGGTGTGTGTTACCATTGCCTGACTTCTGTGTTTACTATAGTGGCTGGATTTTTTCCTCTGATCCTCAGATAAGCTTTATTAGGGTGCACACTATATTGCACAATATATATCACCACATTTCCCCTTATTTTGTCTACTATAAAAAAATAGCTGTCTCTGTCATTCTAGATTTTGGAAGTTGCTTACAAGCACTTCTTGTTTACTTAGGTAATGTTATATCCTTCTGGGGTCTCTGATGTAGTTGGAGACTAGATAGTTATAATTTTCCTTGGTTATGATAAAAGATGAATTAGATAAGAAATCTTAGACTCAAAATATTAGATAAATAAAATATTTTCTTTGAATTTGCCAAATATAAATAGACTAGATATTGCAACTGTAATTTTTGCTTGATAACTGTTTTGTTATATGTAATTTTACTAGATTAAAGTTAAAACCTTCCTCTTTGATTAGACAGAAAAGGGAAGTGCTTTGGGATGTCTTTCCATATGCTGTGAATATGTGTTGCTCTGATTGGCTGATCAATAAAGCTGCATTGGCCTATGGCAGGGCAGGATGGAGCCAGGTGGGAAAATCCAAGAGAGTCAGTGGGAGGAGAAAGGAGAGGAAGGAGACGCTGTGGGCTGTCGGCAGGAGAAGCCAGATGTGAAAATACCAGTAAGCCATGGCTACGTGGCAACTTAGAGATTAATAAAAATGGGTTACTTTAAGTTATAAGAGCTAGCTAGCAAAAAGCCTGCCTTAGGCCATGCAATTGGTAATTAATATTAAGCTTCTGAATGATCATTTTATAAGCTGCCACAGGACTGTGGGGGCCGGGCGGGATTGGCAAAATCTTCCGACTACATAGCTCTATACAGAAGCTCTCCAGGAGCCAACAATACTCTCCTGACTAGGACAAATGACACCAAACACCCAGAAAATACCAAGAGATTTAGGAGCTCTGTGCAGAAACCAGGGGCAGAGAGCTGTTGTGGGACATTTGTACAATATGTGAAGATGTATTGCTGTGATTGGTATAATAAAAAGCTAAACAGCCAATAGCTGGGCAAGAGGTATAGGTGGGATTTCTGGTGATGGAGACAACTCTGGGAAGGAGAAAGGCAGAGACAAGGAGAGGAAACAGGAGGTGCAAGTTGGAAAAGAGGTAACACCACAGGATAGAATGTAGATTAATATTTACATGTTAATTTAAGTTTTAAGAGCTGGTTAGGAACAAGCCTACACTATAGGCCAAGCTTTCATAACTAATAAGAAGTCTCCCTGTCATTATTTGTGAACTGGCAGCCAAAAGAAAAATGTGCCTACAGAGAGCAAATACATACAACTTTTTATTATATCACACTAAAATAACTGTCCTTTCTCCCAGGAAGTATGTGCTGAAGGATGAGGATGTAAAGAATCCTCCTAGCTGTGACATCACTAAATGATTCATATATATGGGCATGTTTATGAGTCATCTACAATATATACTCAGGCCAGTGATATGGTATGGTCAGCAGGTGAAGGCACTTGCCACCAAACCTGATGACCAGAGTTTGATCTCTGGAACCCACATGGTAGAAGGAGAGAACCTATCTGTCTTTTGACCTCCATACATTATGGTACATGGTACACACACACACACACACACACACACACACACACATAAATATATATATATATTTACTATAAATTAACAAGCAGAAAGAGAAGCAAATTGGGTAAATTGAATCTAGATGAAGGGTGAAGGTTGGCAATTCTCTGTACATTTAACAAATTTTATTAAAGGCTAAGGAGTCTATTCCCCAGGGCAATTCATTAATATTTCCCCTCAGCACATGACAGACATGTATCTGCTATAAACAGTCCAGTACTGTCCATGTGACTAGTAACTTCAAACCCAGCATGACTAGGTTCTTATTCTAAAGGCAAATATGGCTACAGATTGTAATTAAAACTAGGTGCTTTTTTTTCTGCAATTTCACACATAAGGTTCTAACAGCGAGGGGCTTGAGGGAACAGCCCCATAGTTATTTTTCTTTCTCAGTTAGGTGCAATCTCTACCGATGAAAATCAGCATCACTTTTTTTTTAAGCCCAAGAAGGCAGGCTTGAACGCCTGCTTAGCTCCCTGGCAGAGTTCCAGGCCTCATTAAGAAGTGGAGATTATTAGAAAGAATTGTACACACTTACTAATTTTGTTTTCCAATGAATCAAAGGTCATCTTCGTCAGCCTTCACTAAATCTGCAGAACACATCAGCAGCTTGATTGCTAATTAGTATGTAAGGAGAGAGAGGGAGAGAGAGAGAATTCACTTCCACAACAGTCCCACATAATAGAGTGTACAGAATCTCAAGGCATAAATTCCAAACACACTCTAACTCGTCAACACCCTCTTGGAAACCTTACGCTGTGCCAAAATACTGGAAAGTCACAAACACCCAGTGGAAACTGTCACCTCCATCTCCACAAGGCAGGGTGCAACATTCCCACACACTGGCTTCCTCACCCTACCCCCACACACTCAGGGTTGGCCCCCTCTGGTTACCTGTCTAGTTCTCCCACACACAGGAGCCATGCATTCATTTATTCAACAAGTATCTATCAAGACTGTAGCTAGAAACTAGAGGGTGGGTCAGTAAACCGCCACGAAGGTTCCAGACTCAACCATAACACACACTAATAACTTTGCAGTAGAAATTCGACCCCACAGATCTAAATGATAAGCAAAACACCCCATTTTCACTGGTTCCCAATGAAACCCCAGTAAGATAGGTATGCATGTGATATTTAAAAATCTATCAGGGTCTCAGAAGCTGGCGTTGACTGTTTTCTTGTCACTGTGACAAATGTCTGGTAAAAATAACTCATGGGAGGAGAAGCTTTACTTTGGCTCCCTGTTCTGAGGATTGCAGCCCATCTTGGTGGGGAACACATGGCACAATCCATAGTGGTAGGTGTGGGTAGCAAGGACTTCCTTCTCACAAGGAAACAGGGGGTAGCTGGAAATGGGTGCTGGGCGATGATCTTCAAAAGTCCATCCCTAGAGACCTACTTCCTTCTAGGTCCCACATCCTAAGGTATCCACAGCTTCCCCCAAACAACCACCAGCTGCTGCACAAGCCCGTAGACCATGAGTCTCCTGGGGACATTTCATCCAAAACATACCCCACACCTGAGCCTCATCCCCTTGGGGAAGCTGTGCAAGGCAAGCTCCTCCCACTGTGGGTCACAGAGGAACCAGAGGGAAAGCCAGGCAGAACCAGGACCAAGTCATCACGTTCCATTAGACAGAGCAAGTCACCAGCCAACCCAAATCACCATCCCAAGGGGCACCGAAGGACAGGAATGATGACCCAGTGTTCAGGGGCCACTTGCAGGCTGTTGCCTCCACCCCCCCCTCCTTTTCCTCAGCTGACTGTTGCCACTGACTCCTCCAAAGAGTCCCTCTTGATGGGGTTCTTCTTTCTGCCCCCCCCCCCCCCCGCTGCCCTGGACATCCCTATGCAGTGACATCTAGCACTGTTTATTGGAGCCCTCTGACCCTATGTCTCCAGTTCCCTCCCAAACATCTTTGTCTCGTCTTGTTTAGAACTTAAGCAAACACAGAGGTCCCGCATGGGTGATGGTACGGCACTACTCCAAGAACATCTACCGAGCCTCCTAGGGTCCATGAACAGACTACCTCTCACGTGCACATCCGCCATCTGCCCTGCAAGGGTTATTCTGGCCATAGGACAAGGGGGTCATGAGAGATTTGACTAACTCCAGAGACTCAGGAAACTTAGATTGGCCAGTCACGATCTCTGGTTCCTGACTTCACTAGACAGTCAGAGCAGGTAGGTGGTGGTGGTGGTACATACCTTTAATCCCAGCACTCAGGGGGCAGAGGCAGGCAGATCTCTGAGTTTGAGCCAGCCTGGTCTACAGAGCTAGTTCCAGGACCACCAGGGATACACAGGGAAACCCCGCCTTGAAAAACAAATTGAGAGAGAAAGAGTAGACGTTAGAGCAGGGACAGTATCTTCCAGATCCAGTGTATGTTATGTGCTCCAATTTTAGTCCATGTGAACTGAATCTCCACACACAAAAAAAGAATGTTTAAAATACACTTGGAGGGCTGGGGTTGTAGTTCAATGATAAGAGTGTTTGCATGAAGACCTAGGTTCAATCCCAATACTGCCCGAAATAATCCATATGTCACCACATGTTCTACTGATTACATACATGGCTTTGATACTGCTTCACCAGGTGGCAATGTCTTGATCCTGTGACCACAACGACTAGCAGGTAGCCAGAAAACGCAACTATGCTACCCTCCTTGAAGCAGGCCATCGTGCTGTGAGGAAGCTGGAGCCGCCACTGGAGTTACCACATGTAAGTACTCGTGTCAGTGGCCCCAAAGGAAGACCCAGGCCACAGTCAGCCTCAGATACCAGGCACCAACAAAGAATCCCTCAGCCAACACCAAACCACAGTCAAAACATCATTCCTAGACTTTGTGTCTTCTCAGACACCAGAATGCAGGAGCCAGCTAACCCCACTGACTTCTGCCCAGACTCCCCATCCACAGGCCTTCGAGCATGGGCGGTGGCTGTTTTATGCTATGGGATTTGGGGTACCTTGTGATACAACAGCAGTAACTGAGATGTAGGGGCGGGAGTCACCCCAGAGGAACCAGGGTAGCTACATGTACCCTGCATGGAGCTGGGGTTATCCCTGCAGAGAGACTGCAGCTACCCCCCCCCTTAATAGGAGGCTAAGCAAAACCCCAAGAATAAACCACAAGGCTTAAAGCAGAAGACACCTTGGCTTATCAGAAGAGAGGAGAAGGGGATATTGCGGATGGAGCAAGAAGTGTCAGGTATACCATGGCTGAGAATGCAAGCCAGCCAGACTTACTTGGAGCCAGCATAGAAAGCAATCTAAAAAAGCCCACAGGGGGGTCTTCAGGACATTAAGTATGAGTAAGGGAGTCAGTGTTCTTAAAAGCCCACCTGCTTTACTCCAGCCCAGAGGACCACAGCCCTTGCCGGGGGAGGGGAAGTGTACATGTGAACCCTCTGCCCCAACCAGCTCCTTGTCACAACCAAAGACCCTATCAGCTATCACCAGATAGGACTGGGAAGTCTGGGGACACACAGCCTAACCACCAGGTCCCACTCCTTTAGGCCTGGCCCCCTTGGTTTGCCCAGAATGTCTGCAAGAACAGATGTGGCAAACATCCCATCCCTGGACACTCGTCCTCCCATCCCATCCATCAGCAATACACAAGGAGAGTCCAGTGGACCAGGGTTGTCTTGCACACAGTTGCCATCATGGAGCCTCCACCAACACCCAGTGAAGCCTGAAGAAAAGGTAGACTTACCACTGAAATGTCCACGGCTTTGTTTTTGCCTGCATGCACACAGGGGTCCTGGGGGCAAGGGCCTTCCCTAATCTCCCTCACCTCCATCCCAGGCCTGCTTTCAAACTGTGCTCGGAGGCCTTGGGTTTGCCCTGCAGGAATGTCTGAACTTGAGGTACTAACTAAACAACAGAGACTCCTTAGTCACCTGTCTCTACCATCTGTGGTTCTGCTTCACTTATCTTAAGCCTGAAACATCCCAAAGACCCGCAGCCCTCTCCTGCTGGTGACAAGACTGAGCAGAGACTGGGAGGAGCATTGGTGCCTCCACGGGGTCCAGGGTTCTTGGGCAGTTCCTGTACTGTCCTTGAAGCAGCCTTGCATCCACTGAGTCAGGAGCTGCAAAGTATAGAGGGTGGAAGGCTCGAATGAGACTCCAGGTTGAGCCTCAGACCCGCATTAGGGAGTCTGGATTTGAAACTTCAAAACAAGCCAAAGAATTGCCATGTGCTTTTAATTTCCTGGTTATGGTAAAAGCTGGATTAGAAGAAAGAAAGAAAAAAAAAAACAGTGTGTGGATCCAAGGAGTCTTAAAAATGCTCCAAAAACAATTCACAAAGGCATTTCCTGACATTCATTTTAATTAGCTGAATGTTCGACTATCATAGCCCTTCCACAATGAAGCTGTCTGGGCACCCTCCAGAGTTGGGGAGTAAGCTGATGTCTCTTTCCTCTCCACAATGCCACAGTCCTCAAGCAGGGAGCTCACCCTCTTTGGACTTGTCTGAAGTTCTTGTCAATGGTCCAGGCTCTGTGTCTAGCTGGATCCTTGGAGACAGCTCGACCACAGGCAACTCTAACAGAGAGTATGAATGAGTGAGGCTCCTTGGCATGGAAGGTCCTGAGAACAGGGAAGGACTAACCCCCACCAAAGGAAAAGACTTCCCGCAAAAGGGAATAGGGAAGTTTGAGAACTTCAGAATCAAAAAGGGAGGTGATGAGGACAACCTCGTGTTTGGAAGTTCATTCCTACTCTGTAAGATTTGCATGTAGATGAAGGTGTTGGGATGGATGGATGGATGGATGGATGGATGGATGGATGGATGGATGGATGGATGGGTGATGGATGAGCAGAGGTCTAGCCTTTGCCATGACTCACAAAGGGATGTTCTCTAAGCTCTTGGAATGTCCTGCCTGCTGAGTCTGTTTGCCTAGGGGCCATAGCCCACAGTAATCTAACACCACAGTGAAGACGGGAGTCTGGACCCCTAGAGTATCTGTGGAACTTCTGGAAAGGCCTGAGACTGAGGTCAGCCACTTGGGAAAACCCACATTTCCTTCTACAAGATACTAGTCACGTGGAATTTAATGTCAACTAACCCAGCTTGACCTCAGAACTTGATTACATTTACAAAGGTTCTATTTCCAAATAAAGTCTCAACTCCTGGTGGACGTGGATTTGGGAAGACACTATAGAGCTCTTCAAACCCCAAGTAAAGACTTTCATCCTGCAAACAGGATGCCAACAGCAAGCCTGCCGACAGCTAAACTCTCGGGGGGGGGGGGTACCAAAAGCAGGCTTTCCTATGGGAAGCTCTTCCTCCTTGCCTGCCCCTCCCATGTGGAGGCGGAGGCTGCGGCCACTCTCTATGGTGTGGCCATGTGTCACCTCTTGCTTAGACCTGGCCTCATAGAAGCTGTGCAACTAGACAACTGTCTATCCTCTTGGCAGGTGACAGAGGAAGTTTGCTTCATGCTCCGCTTGGTCCCACATCACACACACACACACACACACACACACACACACACACACACACACACACACACACACACACACCCGCCCTCAGCCTTCTCATACTGTCATGCAGTGACACTCTCAACTAGAAGCAGCATCAAGGCTGTCCTGAGGCAAATCTGTCAGACT